AGATGGAAATAGGCTTAAATAGTGGGGTCTTTTTGAAATTTCAGGATGGTTTTGGGCTTCATCTGGGAAGAAAACTAAGAGGAAACCCATTCCCCAGCTTTCGTTGCTGCTGCTGCTGTTGTTCGTCCCTGTTGTCACCTTCATTTTCTCTCTTTATATATATATATATCAGTCAGTCTGTTTTTCTCTCTCACACAGAGATACACACTGTTTTTCTTCTTACACTTAAGATCCTCACTGTGTCTCTTTCTGGGTTGGCTTCAGCTTCCTCTGTCTCTGTCTGCAGATTTAAGGGCTGTGAGGGTTTTTTTTTTCTTTTTCTTTTTTTTTTTTCTTTAAATTTTGGGTTTTATTAGTGTGTGGGTGAGTAGTGGGGGATTTAATTGAGGTTAAGGAGGGGCTTTGCTTGGTGAAGAGAGGTGTTTGTCTGTGTTAAGAAAAGTGGGAACCTTTTCTTGAAAATAAAAGGCAGAGTATTTAAAGGGAAAGGGAAGAGAATAAAGGGTGTGTAATTATTTGACTACTACTTGTTAGAGGGATAGGATTCTCAAGGAAGAAGTTTAAGGTGAAATTATTAGAGCATCTCCAATGCTATGGGTTTGAAAGCAAATGATTTTGAACACATGTCAATCAATGATTGTAATGTTAATCCATGTAGGAATAATGTTAAAAGAGTATAAATTTAAATCAAATTGGTATCTCCAATGCATCAATTTGATAAGAAGTTATTTGTATAGGTGGACCAATAAAAATAATCATTAATACAAGAACAATAAAAAAAATAAATCAAATATAAAGTGAATTAATTAGACATCATGTTTAACATGGTGTTAGATATTAGAAAGTGTACTCAACATTGTCAACATTAAATGCTATCTACCTTATTATGAAAGAGCTAATGACAAGATGCATTGGAGAACAAATTAATAACACACTTTCAAAGTTGATGATATGGATTAATTTTTATATTGTCAAAAGTCACATTGGAGATGCTCTTAGATTGCAAGTGAATAAAATCTTGTATGGATTGTATTTAGCACTGTCAAAACGAGCTATGACTCACGGACTGACCCGTCCGTCCACTTAAATGAACGGGTTTGGGCCTTTGCTTGGCCAGCCCATTCAATTGTGGGCCTATTTGGCCCGCCCCGTTCGGCCCGCGGTCTAGCCCGTTTTTTTATTGTTTATTTATTTGTTAATTTTATATTATTTAAATTTAGTATTTCTTATTTATTAGTATTATTTGTCTTTATCGTCTTTTTTTTTCTTCTTCTTTCATATTAATTTATTTTATATTTTTAAAATTTGACAATGATATTAAGATTTGTGAATGTACATGAAACACTTTTTTACATGATAAATATATTAATGAATCAAATAATATTTTATGTGAATTAAGTCTCTCTTCCGTGTGAATACTCTATAACTATTCATAATTAAAATAAAAATAAAATTTGGATGACAAATATTTAACATCATTACACATGAAGCCTTATTAGTTTATTAATATACTAGTAAATAAAAGGATAAACAAACCAAAATGTATATAAGAGTGTATAATACTAAAAAACTCGCGGGCGGGCCGATTTGGCCCGTGGGCTAATGAGGGCGGGCCACGGCCATGGATTTCCCAACCCGTAGAAATGCGGGCTATTTTGGCCCGCCCCGTTTGAACCGCGGGCCAAACGGACCGATCAGTTTGATAATTGTATTTGTGTTTCTTGTAAAGTAAAACAATGGTGATTATATATATGACACCTTGAAATATCATATTTAATTTTCTAGTTGTCTGTCATTTTGTCCTAATAAAAAAAAAAAATGATGCACTAATGAGGTTTGGATATTTATGGGTAAATTTTTGTTTATGTTATTATTTTTTTTTTAAAAAAAAAGTCAAAATAGTTGTTTCGACTTAGTTTTTATATTCTATTTTTTTTAACAAAACGAATGACATCTTCTTCTGAAAAAATCGTAGCTATTCTTAACACAAGGTTCGGCAATATCATTGTTGTTTGTTGAACAAGTACGAAATGTATAGTTTTGAGAATTTTTAAACTCACACTAAACGACTTCGTACAATCGTTTTTACTAAAATCTATATGATTTTTATGTGATACACCGTAGTTCCTCGAATGAGTCAAACAATTACTATTGAGTCAAACATATTGTGCATTCAAATTCAATGATTAAGAACCCAGATTGAATTAAAATCTCCTAGAAAGGATATGAAACAAACCATTATAAAAGTAAACATTCCCAAAATTCAAATGTTTTTTGGTATTGAAAAATGCATGTATTCAACAAATGAAGAACGAGGAGTTGCTTTTGTAAAATTCGAGAATCATCACTAACAAAAAGATTGAATAATTTAAATGTGTTTAGAAGTTGAGTCAACCAAGTTATAAAAGCCAATTGGGTTTTGACCGTCGGGGTTGGGCCGAAGGTACGGCCCCTTCTGCCTATTTTTCAATGTAGGGTTGGGGGAGCAGTAAATTAAGGGCAATGCTATATGTACACCCTTTTTTAATAAAATACACAAAGGACAATGCTATATGTACACCCCTTTTTTACACACAAGAGGGTGTACATATAGACACCCCCTAAATTAATTGGGCCATAATTTGATTTATTGTATTGTTTTCTCAATTTAATTTTAAGTGGTAATAAACTATGTACTATATTAAAAAAAAAAAACTATGTACTATATTCGACATCCTGTGTACTTGTCATATATATGGTTTTTTAGACTAAAATTTGAGAATATTATATAATTTTTATTTGAGTGGTATTTGATATTATTTAAAAATCGATATATAATTTGTATTTAGTGTGACATTCTGTATAAGTATTTCAGTAAGTTTTAAAAAGTTCATACGTGTTCAAATAATGATTAAATTAATCGGCCTCCTAAAGTTTAAGAATTTTTTATATTTTAAATGGATACAACAACATACCCAGTATATTCCCAACAGGTTGGGGTCTGGAGGGTCAGTTGTACGCAGACCTTACCCTTGTAATTATACAAGGAGGCTGTTTCCAAAGCGATCCAAGGTGCGTTGCATCGTTTGATATATTTTAAATGGATACATTGAGATATTTTATTTTCAAATAAAATAAAATAAAATACAATATTATATAATTCTTAAAATATCAAGAAGTTCTTAAGAGTTCAAAATAACCTAATTTTGTCCTTTGATTTGTATAATTAAATCAAGGCACCAAACAAAATTTTCTGTTCAACCTCAACTTGAACCATAATGCCATTCGAACTAATTGAATTTTATAAAAATTACCCAATCACATTAGCTTATGAAAATGTGTTTGATGCCTTTAATCTTCAATACAGTGCAGTAAAAATAAATTAAAAAAAAAAAGGTTCCCAACTTATCAAATTAGTGCTAATTTAGTACAAATGACTTTAGTACTTTACACATAATCACAAATCAAAAAGGGTTTTGACTTTTGATCAAGAAGTAGTTGCATTTTATAACACAAATAATTATTTTTATTAAAATATATAACGGGTCGACTACGACTAACGATTATAACACGAATTAAATGATGTTAATTTTAATCAAACATATTTTTTTATTTTTTTTTATTAGTGAGGGCAAACAACAAAACACTATCTAGGCATTAATCAAAATGTCGGTAGCTGCCCACACGACAGAAGATTATGAATTATTGCAAGTTTTGATTTGTACAAATTTTTTTAATTATTTATTTTTTTTTTATTGCACTAAAAAATGTTTCAAAAAAATCAATTAGAAAACCCCACCATCAATTGTACATTATATGGCCCCTAGGGCACTGCACACAAAAAGTTAATATATGCCTAACCGTATCAATTAATATGAGCCAAACAACATATATCTGTACAACTTTAAGTCATTTTATCATATAGGAAGATGTTACGGTCCCGTTACGGAACCATTCCGTTGAGATTTGTAACCGTTAGATCAATTATCCTCGACGATTAAATGATGATCTAACGGCTGCAAATTCTGACGGAATGGTTTCGTAACAGAACTTTAACATCTCTCTATAATATAATTTTTATTTTTATTTTTATTTTCTTTGCAACTACAACTACAATTTGGAATGTTGCTTTGGAGTTATTACACGTGTATGTTGGAATGTATTTGTTTTTGGGCTAAAATCAAATTTATGATCCATCTATCAATAGTGAAAATATCTAATGACCATATGTGTGTGCTTGCCTAACTTTTAAATTGAAATTCAATAAAGAAGTAAATGTCAAATTGTATTTGTAAAGCTTCATTTTCAAAGGTCATATCATTGTGCACCCATATTTTTAAAAACAACAAAGAAAAACATGACAATTATAAGTACAAATATGCAATTTAATTTGTTTTAAAGAAAACATGTGGAGTCATTATACAGAAATGCTATTGAGTCATCGGATAATCCCTTTATGAAGCCATCTATAATTTTATTTATTGACACGCGTTCAATGTGTATTTATTGCAGTACACGTGTCATACACCATTTGTGGATAATTATGGATGACTCCATAACCGAGCTGTATGATGACTCCATAGCAAAATCAACCATTTATATTATAATTACGTCGTCTTACACACAAAAAATATGTATTACCTATTTTTCTTATAATAGAAAAATATAACTTTAGAGTTCTTTGATACATATAAATTTTAATTTGATTTGATATATGTGCATTGTATTATTTTATATTAGTACAATTGAGATGCAATAATAGTAAACACAATATGGGTTAAAAGCATACTTTTTAAACTCGGCCCAAAAATCGACCCGGGCAGGTCTTCGGGTCACCGGTTCAACCGTCGGGTCATCAGGTCAATTGCTGAACTGGATAATTAATTTAAAAATTTTAAAATTATATATATTAGTATTTTTGACATATAAATATGCATACAAGTAACAAAAACAAATATTTTGTATAAAAAGGTTGTATATTTAATGTTAATAATATTGAATCTCACAATAAACATTTACTATGTCATTATAAACATAGTATTTATTTTTTATATAAAAAAATATAAAAAACAAAATAAAAAATTTATAGATACTGGGTCAACCGAGTTGACTCAGTCGGGTCAATGACCCGGGTTGACCGGGTCAAAACCGGGTTGACCGGGTCCATTGTTACCCGGTCCAGAAAGTCCACCCAGACCAGTTTCGACTCCGGATCGACCGGGTCTCGGGTCAACCCGCCGAGCCGACCCGGGTCACAAAACAATGGTTAAAAGATAAAAGCCTTCTCTTGTAATTTTCTTGCTAATGTTAGTTTGCCGTGCAAATTCATATGACCCCTGGTGTTTGGAGGAACGTTTCAGTCATTATTTTTTATATGTTTTTTGGTACAGAAACCTTCCGGTTTCTGGATCCATAGGGGAACTGACTAATCCGGAATCGAGCCGAGTAGGACTACAAGGGTGGCAAAGCCATAATGTTTCAACTTTCATCATATGTGTTGAATTTTGATGTTTCGTAAAACAATGTGTTAATTTATGGTGTTACAGAGTCAGTGTAGATCTAGATTTAATTCAATAATATATGACATTTAAATAATAGATATATATTTATTAGGACTTTTAAAATTATAAAACGTTTGAAAATTTTAAATTATAATTTATTTAAAAGTTATTAACAATTGTATTTGTTACATCAAATTAATTATTTAACATGTTTCGATTTGATATCCATGTTGAATGTATACAATAAGTAAGTATTTTTTACTTTTTAATATAAAAATAAATTTAATTAATAAAATTACAATTACCTATCTCCTTATATATTAATCCAGAACGCGCTGAGCCTATGTGGCTGCTTCTGGTGCTTCGGAATTCTATGTGGCAAAATTACATGCTTCGTTATTAGGCTTGGGTAAATTTTAATTTAATTCCAAACCAAAAATAATTAGGTTCAGATTACCATAAATATATTGGTTATTTATTGTCATGTTACATGTATTAATTGCATTAATATTAGTTTCTTAATATTAATTATGAAACCAGAAAAATTATTATGGTATAAGCTTGTACAAGTGAAAAATCTAATTTTAAATATACACAATAAGGAATTTTTTAAAAAACTATTTGAAATTTAAATAACTAGCATTCTATCTTATGTTTATTTTAAGAACTTTAGTTATAAACTAGTACAAAACCCGTGTATTACACGGGGTGCTTGTTAAAAAATTATTCTTAAATTTTAAAATTAATGAGAAAAATATATTAAATTTAATTTACTTTTCTACAAAAAAATATTACTATATATTTTATAATGATATGTGTTATATTATATTAGGTTTTATAAATTATATCATATAACTACTTGAAATATAAATATATTAGTTGATAAATAATTTTATTTCTCTAATTAATATTAAGAAACTAATATTAATGCAATTAATACATGTAACATGACCATAAATAACCAACATATTTATGGTAATCCGAACCTAATTATTTTTGGTTTGGAATTAAATTAAAATTTACCCAAGCCTAATAACGAAGCATGTAATTTTGCCACATAGAATTCCGAAGCACCAGAAGCAGCCACGTAGGCTCAGCGTGTTCTGAATTAATATATAGGGGGGGATAGGGAGGATTTTTTAACTAGCACAAATATAATTATGAGTATTAATATATAGGAGGGATAGGGGGGATTTTTTAACCAGCACAAGTATAATTATGAGTATTGTACTAGTTAATAATTAAAATAAATTATAACTACAAAGTTTGTCAACAAGGAAAAGGAAAAATGGAGAAAGAAAAGGTAAGATACGATATTGTGACATAACCATTATTTCTAAAAACTAAACATATGCTTGTGAACTTAACTCGACTCATTAATACTAAAAGAACAGAGTTTTTATGTAGTTTTTTTTTTTATAGTTTGACTCGTTAAAGTTGAAGATCGACTTGAGCTCAACTCGTTAATATCGATAAATAAGCCAAGCTTAAGATATTTTATCTACTCATTTAGTTAACAAAACGAGCTCGGCTTAACTGGATAAAGGCTAAATTGTTTAGTTAATATTGATGTGGGCTTCACTGTTAAACGGATCTACATCTAAATCGGCCTAGCCCATAAAACTTCAAGACATACATTAAGTTTTGACATTGGAGTCATTTGATGTGGGCTTCTTTGTTAAACAGGCCTATTATCCAAATGGGCTTATTATGCAGATTTTAGAAGCTGTACAAATCAAGCTAAATTATGGATTATTTTAATTAATTTTGGACACCGCTTTGCATGTCTTTGATAGTCAACAATAAAAGTTGTTCATGCTAAGTTGCTTTAAATTACTTTAAATTTTGTTATAATTAATTATTTTTTTTCGTTATAATTAATTATTGACACAATAAATTTCCTTCATGGAAAAATCAACTTTGGCACTGGAAAAAAATATATCTACACAAATTGGAGATATTTTCACCATGATAATTGTATAACCAGTTTAAATAAATAAGTTAAGAATTTAGAACAAAAATTATATAATTATTTTTTTTAATAACCACACTAATTAAGTATTATTATTAGATACATTATATATTTTATAATTATAATTATGAAATGAAATCCAAACTTTTCCATAGCGCTTTTATAACTGCTGTGCTGTCCCAAAACCTCTTTTCATAAACCCTAAACCTCAATACATCAGTTATTTTGTCGTATCAAAGCCGGCATGGACGACGAAGCTCCAGGAGCTGCCCAAACATTCGCGGCGGACGCCGACGTATGCCAGCAGCTGTTAACTCGCTACACCCGTTCCTCAGCCGTGCAGCACCGCCACTTATGTGCCACCGCCGCCGCCACCCGCTCCATCATCCAGTCCTCCTCGCTTCCCTTAACCCCACTTTCGTACTTCGCCGCCACGATCACATCCCTTTCCGATTCTAAAGCTCTGGATTCCAATGCCCTTGGCGCTCTCACCTCTTTCCTCTCCATCGTGCTCCCGTTGGTGGGCCGAGGTGAAATTAAGCCGGAGAAAGCTGTGGAGGCAGTCGATGTGTTGGTGGTGGTGGTTGAGGAGGGTGGGGATAAGCTGGGTACGTCGGGTGTTAGGGCTGTGGTGAAATGTGTCGGCGTTTTGGTGGCGGAATTTTGTGATTTGGGGGAGTGGGACTCAGTTTCTCCAGGATTCGAGTGGCTTATTAAATTCTCCCTTGATAAGCGTCCTAAGGTTTGTGTAGATAATGGGTGTTAACTTTGTGGAAAGATGCATGGTACTCGTTAACTCTGTAATGCAATAAGAACATGCAATAAGAACACGCAGTGGTGTGCTTGCGAGAATCTTGTAATTGCATGTAATGAATTTGAATGGTAAGTTACACGGTACAATGTACAAGGTTATTCCCTAATTATAGAGTAGCAATGGGAACATATTTTGTTGTCCCAAAATTAAGTGTGTTTGATTTTCTGGTGCTGCTCGTGTTACAAAGATTAATCAGAACATATGTGTGATCAAGTCTCTCAAGGATTGCCTATCCATGTTTCAGGTTAGGAAATGTGCACTAGACTGTCTCGTGACAGTTTTCAAGTCTTTCGAGTCCTCTGCTATCTCCAAGAGGTCGTGTAAATCAATATACAAGTTGCTCAAAAAGCACATACAATTGGCTAATGGCATGCACACATCAGAAATTGTTGGTGGAGGCAATTCTGAAGCAACATCAAAGCCCGAACACCAAGACTTCCTTCATTTGCTAAATTTGATTAAGCACATTGCTCCATATTTCTCTCCCAAGCTTAGTAAGAAAATGCTTTCACAGCTGTTGAAGATATTGAGTTCGAAGTTTTCAGCTGTTTCCAGGCACATGCTGGACGTTGTTTCAGCTATACTTGCAACTTCAGGAGCTGAAGTTAATAGTTCTAATGTCGAAGAGGTTTTGAGGCCATTGGTTTCCTACATATCTATGGCAGAGAAGAATCCAGTTGACAGTGTATTGTTTGCTGCAAACTTAGTCAAAACTGCCCTCAAGAAACTTCATGATGGCGGTATCAACGAGTGGGCGACCTATATTCCTATACTATCTGAATCCTTAGCCGGTGCGTTTGTATAGTTTAAGTTTTCATCTTTTATGTCTGTGACGGTAAACTTGTTTCCTACCAATGCATTTACTTCGCTTGTATAGTTCATATGGACTGCACTTTTTAATGGTATCAACAATTTCTTTTGCCTGATGAGAGAAATTACTTATAAAAACAGATGACAGAAAGCCACTTGAAGTTCCCTTACTAGCATGCATTCCCTTTTAGCTAATTCCGTCAAGCCAGAAGGAAGGTTGAATGAGATAAATGTAGAACTAAAGATTGTTGTTGAAAAAATAGTCCGAACTTTTATTCTCCTCAAACTGGAAACTAGGGCAAATTCTATATGACTCACTGGAATTGAGTGATTCATGCTTTTTTTCCTTAATATTCTAATGCTCGAAAGTGTTCTGTAATTATGAGGTCCCAATTTTGACATATTTGAATAGTCTCTCTCTCTCTCTCTCTCTCTCTATATATATATATATATATATATATATATATATATATATATATATCTGTTTGTGTGTGTGTGCGCACGTCCGTGTTCATTTCTTTATAAGGACATTTTGCAAACTAACTCTATATGTTTCAGGTTTTCTATCTCCCGAGGATGATGCGGCTATACAGACATCCATCATACTTCGAGAGCTAATAGATCGACATATTGGTGGAAAAAGCTTAACCACGGAAAGTGAAGAATTAGGGGATAGGATAACTGATGTTTCTGAGCACAAAGCAATACAAACTATATGTGCGGCATTCTTCAACGTGCTGAGTTCTTCGCCTCAAATTCCAAGTGAACACTTTTTTTCAGTTGTAGCTTGTCTGTTTCTCAAGCTTGGTAAGTGGAAAGGACATTAAGGATTCATTGAGATATGACCGTATAAGAATATTTTCCTCTCCATTTCTTCCACTATTTTTCTGTTTCTTTCTTTCTTTCCTTCTTTTTTTTTTTT